ACAGATTTGCTCAGCGCTGAAATGTACCAAGAACATGAAGACTCCCGGGTTTGACGGCATATTCAACTTGATCTTGAAGAGACTCAGCATGAAAGTGCCGTCTCTTCTAACCACAATCTTCAACAGATGCTTGGAACTGTAGTACTTTCCAAGCATCTTGAAAATAGCAAAAATCATACCAATCCGCAAACCCGGTAAGGATCCAACCGTATTTTTAGTCCCAGAATCCTTAAAATTTCTCCACGTTTGAAATGATCAATCCTTTGTCTGTTACTTGGGGTCAATTTAACCTCAGGCCACTTTGAAAGGTTGTAACTTTTTTATTTGTCGATGGATTTCACTAATTCTTTCATTACTAACTAGTTGTGTCCACCGAAACTATGTGTTATTAGATGCAATCTGCTCCAAAAACCTTGAAAAGAAATTTATTAGGAATTTTTTTTTTGAAATACTTCCGTTGTCAATTTGACCCCAAATTTACCCCCGAGATCTTGGCGAAGCAGGTGGTTGGCCGTTTCAAGAACCCCTTGCTTCCCACGGTTGAGATACTGGAAGTTCAGAAACTGGGCTCAGTATCTTTCAGCGAGGTTAACCCCACAGCGTCGTTTCTGGTGACCTTTTCTGGTTCAGCCCTTCCTCAGTACATCGAGCTGGGCTACCTGTGCGCTTGTTTGTTCCATAGGGCCTCTGCAGCCTCATTCTGTTCCAAATGCGGGGAGAAGCACGAGGATGGCGCCTGCACAGTCTCTGCACCAAAATGCGTGTACTGTAAGGGAACTCCTCATGCCCAAGAACCATTGCAATTTTTATCGAGGTTTTAAAGCGTTCTACAAGTCTAAAAATGGTGTACAGAACCCTCATAAAACCCAAATTGTTACTTGGGATGGTCTCTCGTCGTGCCCGGCGTACAAACAACGCGGGGAGAAACTAGAACGCTCTCTTAAGGAGCGTTCAAGGCAGTCTTTTGCAGCAACACTAAAGGCAATCACACCATCGACCAACGACAAAAATCCCTTTGCTGTTTTGTCTGATGACGAGTCTGACTCTGACTTGGCTGAGGAGGGAGTTTCTTTCTGTTTTCCGAAAGTTGCAAATCAGGAACCCCAAATCAGCTTGCCCAAATCAAGGAGTGGTGGAAACAATGAGACTTCTACTCCTCCTGGATTCCGCAGTACTGACTATACTCATGATTTTCCACCCCTCCCGGGGGCATCCAAAACCCCTGATGGCCCATTTTTAAGAACAGAAGCCCCTTCTTCATCTGGGTTGTTCTCATTTGATACAATTGTGGACGGTATCCTTAAGTACGTCGATATTTCTGATCCTCTCAAAAGCACTGTGAACACACAAGCACAATGCTTCCTTCTGTGAAGACCCTCTTAAAGCAATTGACATTGAAGTGGCCCCTCCTTACAGCAATTATTTACTTCGAAGGATAATTTTCCAAACGAGGTCGGGGATTTGATCACTGCTCTACAGTGGAATTGTCTAGGTCTTATTTCTAAATTAGATTGAACCCACGATATTCTGCTCAGTAAGCAAAAACGTTTGCCACTAGGCAAACGAGCTCCTTTTATTTCAACACACAAATGATCGATTTGTTGTTATTGCAATGTATTCACATTATCAAATAAAGCGATTAACTGATCTTGAATGTTAAGAGGCTTAAGATTAAACTCATGATGTCCTACTCAGTAATCAAAAATGGTCGCTCTAAGGCCACCAAGCCCCTCATATTACATCATACAAGCTACGATCGCGTTGTTATTGCAACCATTCAAAACCGACCCCTACGGGGACGTTGATGACGATGTTAAGTTTCACAAAACACACGATAATCAAGCGATGTTACTACAAGGCTCCTTAATATGATAGGACCTGGTATTTATTCAAACTCAAACTCGACAGCGCACAGTGTTGCTTTTTGCCGTTTTCGTGCGCTTTTTTAATAGCTTCTCAAACATTGATTTTAGGGGTTAAGTTTGTTTAAAGATGTTTTTGCATATGTTAATCTGCTTCTTTTTATGTAGACGGTTTTGTGATTAATGTACCTCAAAGTGAGATCAAAAAAATATTTTTTTATCTGATTCAGATAGAGACTTATCGTCTTCAATAAAGTTGTAGCAACACGTGACAACTCGCGTTTGAAAAGTATTGCAACACTCATTTGAATATTGCATCACCTGAAAAAGTTTAGCATCACCCAAGAAAAGTTTATATTTTCACTAAAATTTGAACAAAATCACTGTATTCTTGTTAAATTATTGTGGTAAACGTTCAGAAAGCTCTTAATTAGACTAGGAAGGTTTTGCAGAAAGTGATGGCTCACGGTAGAGAAGTTAGATTTCACTATGGATAGTACTGAATCATTTCGAGCTAGAAATCATTTCAAATTTATTGATCCTTAGTGGAGAAATTTTAAATCACTATGAAAAATAGTAAATCATTAAATATATTTTACCAGCCATAAGAATAAAATTGCTTCACGGTGAATCAGACCTGAAAAGCTTAGAATCTCGTGAAGTCGTTGCGATTCTATACACAAAAGTTTGGTATGATTTGAATTTGAAGTGAATCAGAACTGAAAAGTTTGACATCACTTGAATTGGATGTGAATCAGACCTGAAAAGTTTGGAATCACATGAATTTGATGTGAATCAGACCTGAAAAGTTTGAAATCACTTGAATTTGATGTGAATCAGAGCTGAAAAGTTTAGAGTCACATGAATTTGATGTGAATCAGACCTGAAAAGTTTGAAATCACTTGAATTTGATGTGAATCAGAGCTGAAAAGTTTAGAGTCACATGAATTTGATGTGAATCAGACCTGAAAAGTTTGAAATCACTTGAATTTGATGTGAATCACAGCTGAAAAGTTTGAAACCACTTGAATTGGATGTGAATCAGAGCTGAAAAGTTTAAAATCACTTGAATTGGATGTGAATCGGAACTGACAAGTTTGAAATCACTTGAATTGGATGTGAATCAGACCTGAAAAGTTTGAAATCACTTGAATTTGATGTGAAACAGACCTGAAAAGTTTGAAATCACTTGAATTTGATGTGAATCAGAGCTGAAAAGTTTGGAATCACATGAATTTGATGTGAATCAGACCTGAAAAGTTTGAAATCACTTGAATTTGATGTGAATCAGAGCTGAAAAGTTTAGAGTCACACCGCTTCTTGCAAGCAAATGAACCCCAAACTAACACCGATTCTCCTCCGTGTTTTACGGTAGGTACTATGCAACTAGGGTTCATTCTTTCACCGACAAGACGGCGAACAAACACTCGCCGTATGCCGAATAGGACGAATTTGGAGTCGTCTGTAAATAGTACTCTCGCCCACTGGTTTGTATCCCAGCTTTCGTGATCTTTGGCCCATTGCAGTTTTTTCATAATATTGGCTTCAGAGGTTTTTTAGCAGCAATACGGCCTTTCAACCCTACTTCAAGGAGTCGTCGTCGAAAGTCCTTCATTATATAGGGCCATGCACGCTGCACGCTGTTCAATGCTTGACTCCTTTCGCCTTGAGCCGTTGAGAACTGTGCAGACACCGATAGAAAATAATTTACAATGTAAACAGTCGAAATTCAAGTGATACTTTACTTTTTTGTCCTGATTTACATCGATTTCAAGCGATTCAAAGCTTTCCACTCTGATTCACATCAAATCCAAGTGATTCCAAACTTTTCAGCTCTGATTCACATCAAATTCAAGTGATTCCAAACTGTTCAGGTCTGATTCACTTCAAATTCAAATCATACCAAACTTTTGTGTATAGAATCGGAACGACTTCAAGAGATTCAGGTCTGATTCTCAGTGGAGCGATATTATTCTTATGGCGGGCAATATATATTTAATGGTTTACTATTTTTCATAGTGATTTCAAACTTATCTACTAGATCAATAAATTTGAAATGATTTCTAGCTCGAAATGATTCAGTACTATCCATAGTGATATCTAACTTCTCTACCGGGAGCCATCATTTTCTGCAACACTTTCATAGTCTAATTCTGGATTTCTGAATGTTTACTACAATTATTTAACAGTGATACAGTGAATTTGTTCAAATTTTAGTGAAAATATAAACTTTTCTTGGGTGATGCTAAACTTTTTTGGGGTGATGCAGTATTCAAACGAGTGTTGCAATACTTTTCCACGCGAGTCATCATTTATGACGGGTAGTGTATGATCCCACCTCTCGCGCTTTTTTGGCTATAAATGAGTTGAATATAAGTGACTAGATGTATATTTTCACAGCAGAGATTGTCATATATAAGTTATGTAAACCAGTTTATGACAAGCTGAGTTGCTTGGGATTGACATATTCTCTTCGTCGACTTTCTATTTGTATCCCCACGTTATTAACTAAAGAGAAAGTCGACGAACAGAATCGATCAATGTTACTTAGGACCTGATGCAATGTTCAGCTTGAAATGCGAGCACCGAAAAATTCCACACCAGCACAAAGACAGCCCAAAATAAAAAAAAAACCACAGCGGAGCAAAAACACACAACCATTCTCGAACGATTCTCGAAGCAAACTCTCGAGGGGGTCATAATCCGTATTTGCCGGAAAATTATCCAGCCATATCTCCGGAGCTGGTTGACCGACTCCATATATAATCAATAGCATTCATGAAGACCCCGCTTTCATAAAGCGTTTGTTGAGTTCCATCCTATATACTGAGTGTCGAGAATGTGATCTTATTTTTGTTTTGCCAAACCCAGACAAGGTACTCTTGGGCACTCAATGTTGACCAGCAATGATTTTGTTTTAGATTACTCATGTAATTTGATGTGTCGCATGATCTGTTTGGCACGTTTAAGGTGCCTTCTAGTCTGAAGGCCCGCATTCCGTGGAACATTTTCCTGAACCACGATAATTTTCCGATCCAGCTTATTCCGTATGGCTCCAACAATGAATACTTGAAACTAATCAAACATTCTACCATGCTTAAAATCGGGCGGTAAAAGCTTATGATTACGTACACTTACTTGACCATTCTTGTCCATCTCATTGTTGGTCAGTTTAACCTTCTCGAAGGAGATCACTTGCTTCCGGAGGGCTTCGGCTCCCAGTGGTGTATCGGGATGGGCGTATAACCGAGGAGGTGGCGGTGGATCGGCCTTGCCGGCCACCAACCACGAAGACCGATGATACGCGTACCGATAACGACGGTTATCCAGCGGGACAACGTCCATCAGCACGACATACCGATCGGCCGGGGAGATCTGCCTTAGAGGACCGGAAAATGACACACGCACCGTCGGGAACATTCGTCTGAAAGGAAAAGGAAAAAAACGGAAAGAGTTTAGTAATTACAACCGTTTGAAGATGTTCAACACGATGTCAAAAAATGTTGTAACGAAAAAGGTTGCGGTATAAAAGCATAACATGTTCGCTCATATCGCGATAACGATCTCTGCTTCGTTCTTCACCAAAGACCCTCTTCTTCGGAAGCGAATGATGCTTTAATGTGAAACAAATGTTAATATCAGAATTCACGGCGAGCGGAGGAAGCTACGGTGGCGGTGCATTCGATGAAACGCCGAACACCTTGCCTCGATTGAAGGCACATGGCGGGATCAAAAGGAGTTGTGTATAAGTACAGGAATCCCCCGAAAAGTGCGGTGGTTGGTGCCGTCCACCCACTGAAATTTCTCACCTGTCCTCAAACCAATTGAGCTTATGATTGTCACCTACAGAAACTCAGCTCAATTGGTGGGAAGTTAGCCGAGAAATTGCGGTGGGTGGATGGAACCACCCACCGCACTTTTCGAGAGATTCCTGTATAAGCAAACGCGAATGCCTAGTTCCGGAGCGTGTTTTACTCGTGTAAGTTTGAGCGATTTAGAGGGATGAGATAAGGAGCTGGCTCGTTTTTGGGTTTTTCTTTTTTCTATTTGGTGGGCTGGTTGGAGTCGTGGCTTCAAGCTCCGCCACACTATATTGAGAATAAGGTGCTGAAAATGTGAATTTCACTCCTTCATTCGCTGCTATTACAAATGGTATGGTATCTAGTATTCAGCACATAGTTAGCGATCTTACTTTGCCTGAAAATTGATTCGAGTGGGTTGGAAAGTAACTGGTATGCTAATCGAGCTTAGAGGAGTAATTCAAAGGTCACTGTGGGTGGTCTCCTACGTGATGGACGATCACGATTCGCTTGACGTAGATTTTCTTCTTCGAAAGTTTCTTTGTTGTGCAAATGCTCATGAAATCAACAAGTTGAACAAAATCGATAAATTACATACTTTGACTCAAAATATTTCAACCTTTATTTTCCATAACAGCTGTAGAAAATTGGACCCAATTATATTCTGATTGAAATGTCTCGCAATGTACGTCCCTACCGATTGCATGTACGAACCGTGCATTCAGTAGTCAATCAGCCGCAATTCATTCATAAAACTAAATGACCAACGGTGTATCAAAGTGGCAACGATGCGATGGACAGACAGACAAAAAAAACACACACACACAAACTCTCCAACTCAAGTATGCAATGAAGCAAAACAAATCATTGCCATACGGTAGTGAGGCTAAAAAAACGAGATCAATAATTTATTGTAATAACCCTCATTAAACTATTCGCTTAAGTAGACGACTGTTTGCACAAAGATGATGCTTGAGCCGTTTTTTTTTTGTTGTTGTCCTGCTTGCCAAGTGCCGTTTGATGGCTTTGAGGTAATTACCTGCCCCGCGTTGCCAAACGATGAGAACAAGACATTAGGACTTGGTGCAGGTCGTCGACGTGAGGAAACCATCTGGACAGAAACGAGGTACCGTTTCAGCACGTTTTTTTTTCCTCTCTAACTGCTAGAAGCAGAATTGGAAATTACCTCTTAACCGAAGGAAGTGCAGGAAACTAGATATGCATATGATATTGATCTGGGATAGCAATTTTCGAAAGCCTAATGGGTGCAATGATCGTGCAGCTTTGTAATGGTGCTGATGGAATCTATAATTTTCGAATTTAAATCAACAAAACGGTCAAAATGTTGTTGACTCACTTTGCGCCCGGTGATCAGCAGACGATCAACGCCGAAGAAGCTTCCCTGTTCTGTGCTGTGAAATCATTTTTTTAGCAGCCAATTTCCCACCTTCATTTGATTACGTCATCCAGTCGGTCGGTCCAAACAAAAAGGTAATAACAATTTTCCGACTTAATGATGCTTGAAAGCGAGCCGAGGCCATATTTACTGCTCTTAGGCATCACAGCGAGTGAAACGTTGGACTCTTTTTTTATGTAAAACATAATACGCGACTCGAATCGCTCTCCGGTCCCCGGTGATCAATTTCAGCACGGGTCATTATTGGAAGTTGTACCGTTTTGAAAAATTGAACAGTGTGGAAAATCGAACACCTTCGAACTCGAACCCGTTGTTGGCGGTGAAATGGGACCGCCCATTAAAAGTAGTTGGTGATCACCGGAACCGGGTGCCGTTGTTGTTTTGCCACCGTCCCGTGCCCTGACCCTACCCGATTGGTGCCTCCGGTGAAGTTAATTGAAACAAATTGCATCCGCTTATTTCAAGTAATCAATTTCGCGGGAAAGAGATGCTGAGTGTTTGCAGCTGATTATGTTGCTAATGAGGTAATTTTCAAAAAGGCAGACTAAGTGCGGGTTAAATTACTATGCAGACGCAATGGAACTTTATTGTCCTTTCTAAAATCCAGACTTTCAGTAAATGCTCAAAATAGGTTAGTTGTTTCTTCAAGCACAGACATGTATGATCGACAGACAACTATTGCGAGACGCCCTGATTTCGTATTGAAATATTTAGAATTTTTACGCCAGAATGCCAGTTCCATGAATGATTCTGAACGTAGAAGGGAAAATCAGGGTAAGACAGACACCTTAAATATTGTTACTGTTTTTTCATCAATAAATAAAGCCTTTTGCTTATAATACCAGTATTGTGTGAGTTAAACTCATTCTTAAGAAAGAGTTTCATTTAGATTTTGTCGAAAAAATCGATTTTTTTTTACATAAAATGATAACTATACATGTGAAGAATATATGTGTCAAAGTATGTTCCGATACAATACGTATTTTTCGAGTTAGAGCGTCTCGAACGGACCCATGTCACACCAAAAACTTTAAACGCGTTTTTCTCGGAACCATGTTTTGAGAACTCTTGTCAATGATAAGTCTTGTTCTATTCATCTGATTCGCTTCATTCAAACATAGTTTTAAAGTGAATACTTTTCTATACGGCTTATACCTATTATTGGCACGAAAAATTGTTTTTTTTTTTTATAATTTTTAAACGAGATCAAAGTAAAATAAAAAAGTAAAAAATAACTTTTCTTTTAATGTCCAAGAAGTTAAGTTTTTTTCGTTCAAAATTTGTTTAGGTTAGGTACTTGCCGTAGGAAATTTTATGTATTTTCATAATATATGACAGTTACTCATTTCAGTTTACCACGGAAGGCCCGCCAATTGACAGCAGGGGACATTGTTTCGTACGCAGAGGCCGACGAGATCCGCCATTTTGAATTTTTCAAAAACAAAAAACATTTTGTAGTCATCAATGTATAACGCATTTAAACTCAATAGTACAACTTTGTATGTCTTTTCGTTTTCCCACAAAAAATTCGCAAAGTTTGCACGATTTTCGGCCAAATCCAAATGAACCTCCCCTTAAGGAAGCATAATATGCAAGGAATCAAATATATCTCAAAGTGACAAAATGACAAGCGATCAACGAGCCGAACGAAAAAGCTCGAAGACATCGAAAGCAATAATGATATAATCTTCTTCTTTATTTTTCATGACAAACGCCCTTTGTAATATAGCTCACTCGGGTCGGTAGTAGGAAACGACCAAATTGTTGGCAACGTCCTTCACGAAGTAAAGCCAAAGGTGAAACACGTGTATTGATGGGAATTTTTTTTGTTATGTCTTTTCTCGATTGCGATCAACTATGTTTTCAACCATTTATATTTCAACAAAGCAGGCAAGCATTTTTTTTTATCTTTATGTAAGAGATTTTTAGCCATAGGCTAGTTCATCTCTAAAGCAGGCAAGCAATATGCAGCATCGGTACCAAAATCATGTGCTCCAGCCTGGAGGAGTACAAACAAATAGGATGTTTCCTGAAGAACAACAACGTGGACTTCTTCACGCATGATCTGCCATCGAGTAAGCCACTGAAGGCGGTTTTGCGTGGATTACCGTCGTTCGAGGCGGCTGCGGTGAAGTCCGAGCTAGAGCGGCTTGGGCTCCAACCTGAGGCCGTGTTCCCGATGAACTGGCGATCCATCAACAATACCAGCTTCCGTGACCAGTTGTTCCTGGTGCACTTCACGAAGGGATCCACCAGTCTTGCGGCTCTGAGATCCAAAATCCGGAACCTGTTTCAGGTCATCAACAGTTGGGAGCATTACAAACCCCAACATCGTGATGTAACGCAGTGTATGAACTGCCTCTCATATGGCCATGGCACCAAAAACTGCCACATGAAGACAAACTACGGCAAGTGTGCTGGAACTCACTCAACTGCGTCCTGTGAGCAATATGATGACATCGAGCCAACGTGAGTCAACTGTGGTAGAATCCACGAAGCCTCCGGAGTTCATAAATATCCGTCGGAAGGCTACAATCAACAATCAGCCCGGTCACCTCCGTAAACATCGTTCGCCTCCTGTACTCACCGAAGTCCAGTATCCAGCTCAGCCCCGTCGATACGTTCCGAACCTAGCCCCGCTTCCGCTCAACAACCAACAAGCCAATTCTGCGAATATACAAATGGTTCCCAACAGTCGGACAGTTCAGCATCCTCTCGCTGCTGCTGCGGCCCAGCCAATTCCAGGTTCATCCACCGCCCCTGGTTTATCATACGCTGGAACTGTCTCAGGGACCCTGTCGACGATTCTCCGTTCACCTCGGAGGAACTTTTTTTTTCCTGTGATTTGTTTTCCGTCGATCTTGTTTTCCGTGCTGAGCACCAATGTTACCGACGCCAGGGAAGCAGCTCCCATACCTGGACCCTACCTATCGACCCATCAACTCATGAACGGGGGACCAACGGCTTTACTTTCCTTCCGAAGGAAGGCGTGATCAGAGATGTTATGCCTCAGAACATCCCAGCGACGCCGACTGGGATTGAACCCAGGCCTGCTGGGGTGAGAGGTAATCACGCTTACCACTACACCACCGGCACCGCTACCTCGGAGGAACTTGTGACGCTCGTGGTCGAGGTCATCATCATCATGCGCACATGCAAGACTCGATCTGAACAGCTACACGCTGTCCTGTCCCTTGTCACTTAGTA